GGAAAAGGTGGGCGAAGACGGTCAGCACCAGGCAGATCATGATGGCGGCGGCGGCGCGGGCGACGGCCCGGCGGGGCGGGGGCTCCGGGAAGGGGCGGGGTCTGTCCTTAAAGGGGCCGCGGCCCGACCCCTCGATCCCGTGCCACCAGGCGCTGCCGCTGCCTCTGCCAGTGCCCGTCGTTTACGCCCACCCCAGGACCCCTGTGGCCGTGGGGTCCGCTCAGGCCTTCCCATCCGCAGGGCGCCTGCTCGGCCCTCCTCGCACTAGCCAGCCAGTTGCACCAGCGTCAGCACCCCCTCCCAGATCTGCTATGGTCCCCGAGCCCCAAACTCAAACAAACCACGACCCAGGGCTACTTCATTTGCCTTTATTCGCGTTCACAGCTTCTGCCTGGATCACGGCAGAGGCAACACGTAATGGGAAAGGGGAGCCCGCCCGGAAGTGACAGGTGCCAGCACTGGGGCTCCACACCTGCTAGGCCGGCTGCTTCCAGCTTTGCTCCAGCAGCGGCCTCCGGCAGGGCGCCTCAGTCAGATCTGAGTGTTGGGGCAGCAGGGACAGAGGAAAGACACCAGGTGCAGGGTCTGCCCCCCCCCCCTTCCAGCAAAATGCAGAGCCTCAGAACAAGCCACTGGTAGGTCGGATCCAAGCTCCCAGGGGGCTGATTCAGGCGTCATCCAAAAACATTTTATTTTTTTTTCCCCCAAAACCCCAGTAGATAGTTGCATGGCATAGCTGCACATCCTTCTAGTTGCTGTATGTGGGACGCCACCTCAGCATGGCCGGAGAAGCGGCGGGTCGGTGCGCGCCCGGGATCTGAACCCGGGCCGCCAGCAGCAGAGCGTGCCACCCAACCGCTAAGCCACGGGGCCGGCCCCAAAGACATTTTCTTTCATCAAAACGGTGCCCGCGCTCACACCCTTCAGGCAGCCTGCAGGTTCCAGCATTTTAGACTGGGGTGCCCTTGGCCTTTCTCTTCACCTCCTTTTTCGCAGGGTAGTCCCAGGGACCAATGCGTGCCCTCTCCAGGTTCAGCATGGGCTCCTCGGTGCTGCTGTCCCCGTTTTTCTGTCGCTCAGCTAGAATCATGGCCCGGAGGAGCGGCGGGTAGGGCACAGAGCGCAGAGTGTCCTCCGGCACCGGCGTGAACGCCATGAAAGCCGCCTCCTCGTGTTTGGGCACGAGCCGCCAGTCGTGGTACATGACCTGTTCGATCTCCCGGGCCTCGCTCTCCGTCTTTCCTGGGGAAAGAGGACGGGGCTCGCCGCACACTCGCGGGACGGTCTGTAGCCAGAAGCCCCCACCCAGTCTGCCCCGCCTTACCCTTGAAGGTCAGGATGCCCCAGGCCTTCCCGTGGTCCAAGTTCTGCAAAGCAAGTGGGGAGGGATCAGCTCAGAAAGCTCGCTCGCCCCATATCAGGGCCCGGAGACCACCGCCCCAGAGGCGCGCAGGGAGGCGGCGGGGCCCGCGGGTGGAGGAGCGGGGCCGGGGTGGAGACGGAGCAGCACCTGCGCCGTGTAGTCGGGCCGCACCCGCGTGAGGCGCCAGTAGCACGGCTCGTCGTGCTGCCACAGCCAGGACTTGCGCGTGACCAGGCGGCCCAGGCCGAAGAGCGGGAGGCGGCCGAGCAGCTGCAGGAGGCGGCTCTCGCGGCGCGCATCGGCCCAGGCCCGCGCGGGCAGCCGGCGGCC